GATTTACATTTAGTAGAAAGAAGAGTATGACCAGAATGTTAATTTAGTTTTTATGAAAAAAAAATAAAAATAATATTTACTTTAACAAATATAAAAGTATATTTATTTTTAAGAATAAAACTAATATTGGTTTCTAAGATCAAAAAGCAAATGAAATCTTAATTTTTTCAAATAAAAGATAAAGAAAAAACGATACGTAAGTCATTTATTTGTCACAAAGAAAAGAAAAATAGGAGATTGAAAAAAGGAATATGAAAATTATTTTTACGGCTGAATATTTTTATAGTAAAAACATGACTTTTGTGATCATTTAACTATTGATTAAAGATAAGTGACAAGCATATTATCTTTTATTTCTTCCGTCTTTACGTATCTCATCATTAAAAAAATATTTTCCTGTTCCTTTATTAGCTTTATGTTTTTCTTTATTTTGTAGAAAATAATTAATTAATTAATCTTCATTATTTACTTTAAAGAATCATAAAAATAGATTTTCTTGTTCATTGATTTTATTTTAATCTCTCTCTCTGTTGTAAACTATTACAGCATCTATTGTAGTGATGTTGTTGCTCTTAATATAGAAATATGACTTCTACTTTACTCTTATTCTTTCTATCAGCGTACTGAAAATTTGAACTGCTCGATATCGACAACTGAGGTTTTAGACTCGACAATAAATGCTCACGAAAGACGATTACGAATTTTGGTGATTATTTTTTTTTCAGTCAAGAAACAATTAGAAAAATTTCATCAATTTAAGAAAACTAAATAATATAATTGGAGCTAATCAATATTCTTTCTCAATGTAACAGAACAATGGTATTGAGCTTATGAAACGAATGAGAATGTGTTCTGTTTTTTGAAAATCGATTTTATATTCACGAAAAAGCATAAAGCAACTTGGAGAATGATAGAGCACATATTCTTTTCTTTCCAAGAATGACGCTGAATCGTCTAGAAAGCATTTATCAATTTGAAGAATGCAATAGTAGGTATTTTTCGCAATAAAAGCAGAGAAAGGGATCTCACTTGGATACATTCCTATTCTGAGCATTCCAAAGAAGAAGGAAAAGAGAATCATTCAAATAATTAATGAAACAACTCAGAAAGTATGTTATTTAGATAAAGAATGTGCTTACTCAAATACAAAACGTATTATTGTTTTATTTAAAATAGATCCGTCAAATAATAGGACACGCTATTTGTGTACAAGATAGCTTTTCATCTTTTGATAAATGCGTTCACTTCCATTTTTTTTTCATGAACACTTTTCACTAAACATACACAGTCATACATAGATCAATAATGATAGAGAACGACAAACATATAAGTTATTCATTTATAGTCACCATTAACAAAATGTGTCAATGTATTACGACTAACATAACAATAATGCGAGTATAAACGATATTCGAATACTATCGTAAGAAATCGTATACACCAATTGTAAAGAACTTATAAGACTACCGTAGTTTTCTATCTTATTTGTTTGTCAACCAGCTTTACTGCCAACGAGCAGCACTCGTTCAATAAAATAACCTACAATGAATTGATTCAAACCGTATTATACAGTATTATTGCTCGATGTACATTATTCCATTCTCTATCTAACAAATCTGATAAAGCATTTAGACAGTCGAGTATAGGTATAAGGCTATTGTCCTAAGAACTAAATCATAGGAATATACACAAGAAGATAAAATAAATGAACAGAAGCGTGAAAATTCTTCAAATATTTCAATCATTTTCTAACGTTAATCGCGATTTCCAATTGCACTTTAAAGACGATCAGCAAAATGTGGCATGAAAAAGATCCCTTCTGACATAATCTAAAACTTTTGACGGTGCATGATTTACAAAGTTTTGGTTATTTTCACAGTTGCTTCTGTTATACGTTCAGGTTTACAGTTAGGAATTCCTATGACCATTGTGAAATGTTCAGAGTTTTTATGCATTTGCATGCCCCCTTATTTTTCTCTATTTCCACACCGTTTCTCATTTGTTTTCTCATAATTTTTTTACGATTTAAGTCATTCATATAATATCAATACTTGGTACGCAGATAACAGATCTATGTATTTATACCCATTGAATTACATACAAATACATACAACAAACTGTCTAACTATTAATCAAGCTATTTCCTAACCGCCTTTCTGCTTAGTTACTTACCTATCTGCCTATCTATCTAACCAATTATTCACAAAATGTCATACTGACGGCTGGTGACAATACTGTTCTTCGATTTTTTTTATTATTGAACATTTTTGCTTTCGACATTGATTGGATAATTCTAATTCACTAGCCATATATCAGCCTATCAATCTACTTGTCGATCTACAAATATATTTTTTAATAATGTAAATATTTATCTATCCAATCAGTCTATCTATTTATTTGTTTATCAAGGCAAGGGATGCTGTTACAGAAACTTTCTATAAGTTTAAAGTGGAGAACATGTAGTGCAACAGATGCTGGACAATAAAATGTCAACGAATTACAAAGATAAAAGACAAAAACGAACATCATATAAAATGGAAAGTTGCAACGGAAAGGTTGTGACAATATTTGCAAGATAAGAATGAGTTGCATTATTTGTTTGAAAAGGCACTCGAAAGAGTATTAAATGTCATATTTGTTAGACGCTTTTTATTCTAACTAAAAAAGAGCTTAACTCAAGCACACGACAAAGATATATATATAGGCATGATTGTCGATTATTATGAACATGAATATAAGAGAATACAGCGTAAAGCATCTCATTTCTTGATTAAAAATGAAAGGTCATTTACAATTTTTTCCAATAATTTTTGAAAAGAACAAAATAGAGACTTACAGCTTTCACCACTCAAAAGACCAGCCTCCGAGCAACAATTCTGTATTAGATTTAAAATGTCAATACGACATTCAGGTATTAGACATTACTCGAACGTTAATAGATCCATGTCATTTGTAGAATTTACACTGAATATTTTTGTTGATGAATTAATTAGAAAGGTCAAAGTATCCTCTATAGAACCATACAAGCTGCGGAGTTCTATTTTGAATGATTGAGAAAAGGGATGGATTTTATTGGAAGTAATCGAATGGCACCAGAACACAATATGATTTTCCTTCCAGATTTAAAAATATATAGAAAAATGTATCATTAATCAGGCTGAACATCACAGTATACGATTTCAGTTAACCTAAAAATACATTTCTGGTACAATCAAAGAGTAGATTATTCGAGTAGAAATGGTAAATTGTGAGACAGTTGACATTTGATGAGAAACATTCTATTTTGTCAATCACGACTACCTTTAGCCAAACGATAAACATATATAAGTTATGGACAACATCATAAACTTTATTGTCTATGACATCATCTGACGTATTATCAGTTTCATCATTCGTTTCGTCACGCGTCTCTTTGTCCGATTCGTCCTCTGACTTATCACCCAAATCGCTCCCTATATCCATATCATGATCGATCAGTTATTCTTCGATTTATTCAGCATCTGCGTCTCCTCGTTTAAAAACGAGTTCGTTTTCGTGTGCTTGAGCGATGTAACTTTTGATAATAAAGAAATCTTAAACATCTAGCTAGTTAGAGGACAATCGTTGAACATCTGTCAATCTGAAGCTGGTGCTCTGTTCTCTTCTATGTGATTTTAAAGAACATACATTTGTTTATCAAAAACATATGGATTTACACCGCGATATAAGCATCTTAACACAGCTTTCTAACTTTGCAAACTGCCATTAACAGAAAAGCATGTTTTTACTTTAAATGTCAATTTTCTCACAATTACCGATGTCTACTCGAATATTTTACTCTTTGATTGTATTAGAAATTTATTTTTTGGCTAATTAGGGAATACTTTGACCTTTATATGTAACCTGTAAACAAACGTATTCAATTTAAATTCTAAAAATGATATGGATCCATACAAGTTAGAGTAATGTCTAATATCTGAATGTTTTATTGACGTTTTAAATATAATACAGAATTGTTGCTCAGAGACTGGGTTTTTGAATGGTGAAAATAGTAGGTCTCTATCTTGTTCTTTTCGAAAGTTATTTAAAAAAAGGGTAAATGATCTTTTATTTTGAATTGGACAATAGTTTGAACTGCCTTTTGAAAGGAAATTTTCTCTGCTGACATGGTGTCAAATTTTAGAAATTTCCTGACTTCGACATTCAAAAAATTGCCATAACCCTAACTAAATGATATTGATAAACTTCATGTTGGATACGCTGTAAGTTGATATAAAACTTGTTGTTGATGTTAATTGAAATCACAATGTTACCCACTAGAAAAATATTTTTACCAACCCTGCATTATTGCTGCAAGTTTTTTTTAAGTATCACGCGTCTGATTAAACATACTATAAAATGTATTCTAATTCGAATTATACTTTTTATACACTAATCATTTGAGACAAGCATATTAAAATCGTCAAATCATTTTCATAAGATCAATTTATACATAACATCAGATTTCACTTAAAGATATGTTAAATCTCTTTATGAGAAAGTTTTTAGTGACTAATATTTTTATTTTACTAATGTGAGCCATGTTAACTTGGTAGTACAACATATTAGATTTCATCTTTGCTTTATGTTTCTCGCAATATTCTCCTTGATAATCATCTTTGCAAGCAGACTTTATATTTTCAGTATTAAGTTACAAAATTATCTATTTCCTTTTTTCTTCTGCTATGCTATACAAAGTCAACAACAAATATTTGTAAGTATTGATAACATATTTACCGACTCTTTCATAAGTTATCATCAAAAAAAGAGTAGTCAAACAAATTTCTTCCTACTTTCGTTTCGTTTTATTATGTAGGATGTAATGCGTTCTTTTATCAGAAAGAAACAAGTGTATGGATACAGAGCCCTTCTTAGAGTCATGACTAATATATTATTTAAAAACACAAATAATAAATTTAAGCATGAATTCAGACAATCGGTAATTTTATTAGTACTTTAGCGGATCTTCTCAACGAATTCGTTTATGTATCTTTTGACGTTGAGCAAAAGAAAGCATAAGATTTTGTATCCTTGTTCTCGTCTATTATTTGTGTAGAGGCTTGAACATGAGACATTGTTTGTAAATAATTATTTAATAAACTGAATAATAATAGTTTTTCTTTTTTCACAATATCGTCGGTTGAAATTGATGAATGTGTCGATGTTTTAGTTGCAGGATTAGAATTTGATGAAGAATTTTCTGTTTGAAGTTTCATAAACATTTCAGGAAGTTTTTCTGCTAGATAATTTATAAAATTATTCGTTTGTAAAGTCATTTTATTATTCAATATCATAGAAGAATTAGTTGTTGCAGTTATATTTGATAGACTAGCTGAGTATCAAAAGTATGAATTTGCAAATAAACAATTAAAATAGTCTTAATCTTACTTTGACTTGCCAATAAATTATTTGACTGAATAAAAGTATGAATTATTATTAGAGATACTTAAAATGAGCAGTTGGTTACTTACTGTTGTTAATTCAACATCGAATGATGGTGAACCTAATAAGTAAGAATGAATGATAATACTGTTGATTTATGTGTAAAATGAATTATTCTTACTGGATAATTGTTTTGATTCATCATCACTAGTTGATCTCCTAGAAAGCAGACAATGAAATAGGGAACAAAAAAACAAATTCAAATTACATTGTAGACCAAAGAACAGGTATCAGTGGTTTATAATCTTCCTTTTTTGGAGGTGCCACAGTACTAAGTCGAAATAATTCATTATCTATATTCCAAATAACAACATTCTTTAGGTACCTTTGCTATCATATTACATACCAAAATATAAACTAAAATCATAAAAACTACGATTTGGTATATCTGATAACAGTCGACACTTTTTAGCTTTTTCAGAATTCGATTCACAAATCATTCGACACATGTCATCAACAAATGCTTTTGTATGAAAGCTTGCTCTGTTTAATTGACCTAGAAGATTAAACATCTCAATTTGTTTGAAGAAAACGAATAATTCACAAAGCATAACAACCATTATGTACGATATATCGAACAGATGCTGATTGTGTTGATTGATGTTCCGTAAGTGTATTGAAGCGTAGTAATATTTGAAGTTCATCTCGAGTACCATTTATTTCGTTATCAATCGCACTATTACATATACCAAGAAATAGACTATAAATACATAATGTCGAAGATCTATTTCAAAATATTTTAATTTATTATTACTTGTCATGATACATCATTGAAAGAAAAGGATGATCAACAAATAAATCTATTTGACTAATTATTTTAGCTAATATTTCCTTTCAAAAGAAATTTGAACAAAAAAGTTTATTGTTTTTTTTATTGTACCTCATAGATATCGACTGAAGTGATGTTTATACTGTTTTTTTTGGCTTCTAAAATGGAAATACATGATTACGATTACATCATGATTTGAAATGATAAAAACCATAAACTGCTTGTAATTGTTGAAGAATAAAATGTCTCGTATGAAGTTTTGGTTCGACTCCTGCAATACGTGTATGATATCGACAAATAAAATCAGCCATAATATTCGGTTGAATCACATGACCATTCTAGAATGATAAATGAATTTCAGATCAAGAATTTATATGTATTTTCTACAATTTGAGGAATTTGTTCAATTTCATAGATGATTGCTTTGGCAACATATTCAGGAAAATATTGAGCATGTGAACAGAGTCCAAATGGTCGCGAATGAAATGTTAGATCTTCTTCGATATTTAGATGCTTAATCTAATATAACTTATTCATGAAATCGATACATTCTAATTTTATATTTACTCTAATCTTTAGCTGAAACTGTAGTTGGCAAAGTTTTGAGTTATACAAACGACGCAAACTTCGTGGATCTGATTTCGTTAATTTGATAGATTCAACTTCAGCATAGAAAAATAATCTTGATTGACCATTTACATCAAAAATTTTTCGTGTTTTCCATTTGATTGCTGTTTGCTTTTCACCTTGTTCTCCAATTTGACGATCCAATAAATTGAGGATAACATCTTGTTAATAGTTTAAAAAATTGACATTGAATGAAAAGAACAGGATTTCTTACCAATGCTTGTAAATATAAAATGAGCCTGAATTTTATCAACGTCTAACAGACAGACTATGCGCGAATTCAATTTGACTGTATAGTTAGTTCCGAACTTTTCATACTTAGCAGCGGCAACACATTCAGGAGTAGACGGCTGCGTAATGATTATGAAAGAACTGTATTCAATGTAGAATGAATATTATTTTTATTATTCAAATTATTTTACTTTTGTAAAAGTTTTTTGAAATGATTATGTGCTTCAGTGTGTAAATTATTGGTATTAGTTTCATATGTAGTTACCAATAGTTCACACAATTTAGATGTGCTAGAAAGGGCATTCATAATTCTTCACAATAATAACATTTATGAGCACTAGGTATTCTTACGCTTGTTGTAGGTGTAATAAAGATTGTGTTGGTTTGCTTTTGTCATAGTTTATATGAAATAATCGTCGTTGACATTGTAAATTTCGACAAACTTCAATTTCATCATACAAAGACTCTGCTGTCTGTAAAACAATACACTATTTCGTTGGTTGCTTTGCACATTCATTATATATTACCGAAAATGATGTTAATCTGATTGACATGCGCATTTTGATCGTTTCGTACAACTTTGTTGTTTGTTGATTAAATTCATTTGGATTCTTCAATTATTAAGAAAATGTTATGAAACACATGATATATTTCGAAATAAGCAGAACATGTACTTGTCCCACTTTTAAATAAGAATGAAAAGATTTACTGTCTATGCAAAGAATAGCAAGAACATAATTTGATTCGACAAAATATTTTGATTTTAATTCTTTGCCTAATACGAAGAATTTCAAATCGATTTCTGCGAAACTGTAGAGTTATATATGTGAAGAATTAGTTAATATTATTTGGCTGATTTTTGTCTAACAGAGTCTCTTTGCGTAAGATTTTATTATATGAATTCAAATGAAGAATTTTGACTTTAGGTCGACCAAACTCGAATGACTTATTTCAAAATTGCTTGAAACGATGGCATCTGTATTAACATTTTTATGATAGATAGATATATAAATACTGAGTAAATGAAATTATCAGTACATGCATCAATGCTTTCTATCTTAACATAAGTAGCTTGGTTCTCAGCTAGCTTATGTTATCATCAAAAGCCTTTCAACTCTGTTAGGAATGCTCATTTGTACACTATACCTTCTTGTATTCAGCGATCAGCCGATTGAGCATAAAGCATTTCTCAATTGAATTAATATTGGGTTTCAAATTTCGTCGTTCACGGATGAATAAATCCATCCAACCAGTTATTTGACTGAAATAATACATTTTTATGTAATCGGTATATAGAGACACTATATTGAATACCTTCGATGATATAAACTTGAAAAAGAGATGCTAATCAAGCGTTTGGTAGTCAACCAGAAAAGTAGTCCAATTGCGTTAAAATTTATTTCATTCGGTGCTAAAAAATGATCGTCATCTGATAAATCTTTAGTACATTCAAGGTCTTGGTCGTTGGTATGTTTCCCTTCTGTCAGAGAACCTGCCGCTATTTTACAACATCATATAACGCATAAACTCTTATAAATTTTGCCTTACCTGACCTCTTGGTTGCCTGACGCGGAAGTTTTCTCTCTGTAGCCATTTTATTTGAAAAATTGTTTAGCAAATTTTGCTCAAATCCAATATTATATTGATGCGTTTCTTACTGTTTTTGAAAATGAGGTTGTTGTCTTCAAATGTTGACGATTTTATATATAATAAACTCATCTTTCCGTCAAAAATGGTAAAGAACGTTAAAAATAATCAACCATACCTACTCTTTTTTTCCGAGAATTTTATCGTTCGTCATTTTATTACGACGAAGTGAAGTGCTGCTGCAATTTTCGGCGAAAACAACTTCTGTGTTTGCATCACATGTCACATTCTATTTATATTATTCTTTCTTGAGATATTATTTGTTTATTTCTTTCTATGTTTCTACCAACATACATCATTTAACTTGTTGGCATAATAGCAATTAGTTGTATAACTTATGAATATATAAAAATGATTTCTACGAATACATTTTTTTTATCTAGATAATATCTTAAAAAGAATCATAGTAATTAAGACCAAGCTATGGAAGTGATCTCAAGACTATAGATTTCAAATTGATTCCCATTTTATTCGCAGAATTGAAATTAGTCGCTTATTTATTACATTTTTTTCTATGAAGTTGAGTTTCATATTTTGAAATTCTACGAAAGGTACACTTATGAATGTACTTGTGAGTCTTCTATTCAACTATGTCCTCACACACTTTAACCACATTCACACCTACATCCTTCTTTGAACTATGCGTCCAAATTGATCCACCAACATAATAATAACTTGGAAAACCATCGGAATCGATAGGAAGCTACGCAATACAATTTGAAGTGTTAAACTAACACATTGACTTTGCCACTGACATCGATCACCGAAATAACTAGGTGAACAAAGGCATTGTTGCCTACGATTTGCACCCGATCGTTCAAGAATACCTCGATGGTAAAACCAGTGATCGGTACAATGAAGACTTAGCTCGAGAGGTTCATATTGATCGTCGTATGATTTAATAACAACATAAGGATTCATTGAGATCGTAGGAAGACATCCAAATCGAGTTGGATTTAAGAACGATCCAGGTCTATTCTCGTCGTATTCTCCAAGAAAATTGCATCTCTTCGTATTATCCTTATAAAATGAGACGACTTCATGAACTTCAGGCATAATATTGGGTTGTCGCAGGCAAGTTTCGTTACGAACAGAAGCTGATAAATTTTGACGTCGATACAAAATATTGGTTGTAATACAACTTGTCTTGTTCCACAAGATAAAATCATTCAAATCTTTAGTGTTGTTTTCAAAGAAAATTCTTCTGGCAGTCAAATACGGATTGAGATACTCTTCATAGAGATATTCCATTGGTAGATGTTGCCATTGTTTTGTGTTGAACGGGTACGTAGGTGAAGTTAGCACCCGATTCGAGTAATTCCAGCGCCGATTCGTCCAGGACGTGTTCTGGATTGTTTCAGAAGAGTTGCAAGCACAATTTCATTTGCTCTATCCAATGGTGAAATCCAATTTATGCTATCTTGCAGCATTCGTGCAACAATTCAAAAATACATTTTTTTCCGATAGGACTCAGGTATACCTCGGAGTAATTCCAGCGCCGATTCGCCCAGAAAGTGTTCCAGGTTGTTCCAGGAGAGTTTCGAGTACAAGTCGACTTGCTTTATCGAATGGTGGAGTCAGTTCCATGATAGCACAAAGCATTCACGGGTAAACTCATAATGGCTGTTGTTTCCCATGAGCGATAGGTAGCTGTGGGAGAATTTTCAGTAGCCATCTGGCGCTTTGTTGTTGTAGTTGTGTTGGGCTTTATGCAAAGCGGAAGCCGGGGTGTGGATATGAGGTCTAATTGAAGAAATGAAGAACACCCACACCCACCCACAAGCACACGCACACTCACACTCACACCCACACCCTTCTATTGTGCTTTTGACTCAAACATTGAAACTGTACCATTCCAGGCCTAACCAATCAGTTTGTCCATCCAATCGGAAATTTCCGTTCCAATATTTGTTGTTAATTTTCAATTGTATCAGCAATTCATGAATTCAGAAGAGATTTGTTATTCTCCTGACTATCATGTATTAACAATGATATAAACAAGGTCATGAAATAAACCTGATATAGAATTAAAGTCACCTGTCGACTGCTTTCTTGACCATAGTTTGCCGTGTTTAAACATGTTTCGGTGCAGCAACCGACACCAATGATGTGATTATGCATCAACTTATACATTGCGGCGAGGAGGGTGTGAATGTTTGGTCATAGGTGTATATCTTCTCTTTGATATCACCTACTGAGTCGCAGACTTATCCAAACACCCTACTTGTCTTTAAGAATCGTTCCTTGCTTCTGTGCTTGTGGTTATTATTTTGCTGTTGTTGGCAAAACATCGTTCCCAGTCGAATATCACACTTTCTAAAGACGTCATTCTTTTATTGTCAACAAATTTTTCTTTCTTCTATTTGTTGCCAACAAACAAGAGTCATAGTATTTTCTTTCTCATCAAAAGAAAGGAGAACACGTGAAATACGAAACACTTTATTGGTGAAAAAAAATGAGACGCTGCAGTTACTCTTTGATTATTCAGTTCTCTTTTTCACGCTTTCAAAAAATATTGTCGTGCTGCGTCTACTGAGGTGAGCTAATGTCCTTTTCTTAGGCAATATGTAAGTTCCATAGAGATGAGACTATAATAAGATTTGGAATTTTCTTGATGATCTAAAAATATTTTGAACTTATAAGCGGTTAGAAACCATTAACACGTTGATTTTTCATTTCTCAGGCATTCTTAGTGTAGATCACTTTTCTTGTGGCGTAAATTGACACACATATGTGCTATTCCAACCATTAAAAACTCTCTTTATAGTAATGTTTCAAGAAAGCACTATGTCGCACTGCAAGAAGA